CACGCCATACAAGGAAGCCCAACTGGACAGCAGTTTGGAAGGCTAAGTGAGCACATAACCTTATTGGGCCTAAAGCCCATTTCGAACTGGGCTGATTTGATCAGTTAAATAAGGGGCGAAATCTGAGATTAGATTAGCTGATTGGATGGTCTTAACCTATCCACTCAGAGAGTCCAGATCTGAATGTGATTCAGATCTGGTAATAGGATTAGGAGGAGGCTGATCTAATTTGCAGATAAGATAAGGGATTACCCTTATCACTTAAAGGGAATTCTTATCCAAATATTATTTGGATCAGCAACTCGTAATGGGATTAGGAGCTGATCCCTTTAAGCTTATAAAAGGAGGAGGGGGCAGCAGCCTTTAGAAGACATTCATATTCACATCCTCTTCAGAGCTGAAATCACAGAAGAGAGAATTCAGTATCACTGCGCTAAATCTCTCTTGTCGCCTCCTTCCTGTCGCCGCCATATCTGCCAGTTCGATCTCCTTTTGTCAGTAGGAGTGATCAAGATTGGATCTTGATACCAGTCCTTTGTGAAAGGGCTGATTGGAAGAAGTGCTCACGCGCCATCCAGCTGATACTTGCGAAGGATCTGGTTCTTTTGAAGAACACTACTGATTCTACTCCATCCTGCATTGCGCCATTTTCAGTGGGAGCAGTCTTTGGTTCCTTCCTTGGGCGTGAACACTTCCATTGGGAGATATTGTTTCTCCGTATCAGGTATATCCCTCTCCTACTATTTTGTTCAGATCTGGTTCGGTTCTTGGTTTAAGATTAATCCTTAAAAAATATGATTTTTCTAAAATAGGGAATACGATTCCCAGTAGGATGGAGAGAAATTTTTGAAATTCGCCCAACCTATTCCGTAAGATTCGGGTGTTCATACGATGGATATCTCATCCCTTCAGTGTCTGTGGGGCGAGCTCTGTGGGGCACAGATGTAAATTCAGGGCTAAGTGGTATATCAGTCTAAACATGGGTTGTATAGCATACTTGTACATATTCTTTATTTATTTATTTTCACTTAGCTGAGTTTGGAAGGAGTACAAATACAAATATGTAGAGTGCAAAACCTTGTATTTTGTATGTATTTGTACTGTACATATTTGTATTTGTACTCCTTCCAATCTGAGCCTTATTAATCAATAAAAGTTACTGTTGTTCATAAAAAGTAGTTTTCCCCTTCTTTACCCAGAATTTCAGTTTGTTTCTTCCATAAGGCCTTCTGGCCAATGAAGGGAATCAGCATAGTCTTGTCAATCCTTATCTAAACATGCTATCAGATATTTCTCCACTAATTATTTGTCTTTCAGAAAAAAATAGGAACAGCTGTAAATGAGGCCATTTGGAAATCAGAAAGGAAGATCAGGAGGTAAATATCTAGCATAACCAACCATTAATGTGAGCTGATGAATAATGGTTGTTGATATCTAGAAATAACAGGAATCCTTCAGAATGTATTCAAGATTGCAATATTTCTTCATAAAATCACAATATCACAGACATAGACTCTAAATTGAGACCATTGTATATGATAAAAACATAGATTGCATAATCCAATTGCAACGAAGGATTATAATTTGAGATTTACCATTTTCTCTTTCTCTTCACGGACACTACTTCTGGCACTAGGCTTGACTACATTGTTTTGAACTGTTTTAGTCTGTGCAGAATTGTTTGTAAACCTGGGTATACATATGCCAGAAGTTCTGTTTTCAGTTCTGAAAGGGTGAAAGATGCATTTAAAAAAAGAAAAAGCATGTTATAATGATGAAGCAGAAAAATTATCATGATCAGATGGGATGAAGAAAACGAAGAATTAAAACACAAAAAGCCTTACATGGTTTTAGGCCTCTGGTTATTAGTATTTCTTCCCTTTGGAATTACAGATTTGTTACCAATTCCTGATGACTTTACTCTAGCAGCTTTAGGTTCCCCGGAAAATATCCAAAGTAAGATTCCTATAATGTATAATCAGACTAAATCACAAGCATTTTATTCTAGAATCTGACCTGTTCTCTAAAGTCATATTTTGGACACCACTACCAGTCACAGCAATCTTCTTTGAGTTGCTCTGAAAAATTAGATGTCAGAGACAGTACCAAGCATAAAATTGAGACCAACTTTCCTTTTTTAAGTTCAGTAACAACAAAAAGTATAAGACAGCACATTAGACTGAAAAAGTAAGGCGGCGTTTGGAAACGATGCAAATATGTAGAGTGTAAAACGGTTCATATAAATTGCAAAGTTGGGTTAGTTTTGCACTGACAAATTTACCTTCTTACCAAACAGACTTTAGCTGTAATGGATACAAACATGAATTTGAATAAAACATATGCTTTTTTTTATCAAAAGCCCACTTGAATGCAAATTTACTTCTTTTTTTATTGATGTACTTTTACATCTTATTATCAATGTAAATATGCATTGGTCTGTCATTTGTCAATGCATAAATGTAATATTGCCAAACATAAGAAAAAGTGAACCAGAGTGCAAATTTACCCTGAACCGGGATTTACACTCCATTTGCATCGTTTCGAAACACAGCCAAAGGAGTATCATCATCAACCCAAAATTCTACCTGAGCACATGATGACCTTTGTGCATGAACTGAAGACTTTGATGGCAATTTTTCCTCTAAGGATTTTGAAATGAGATTACCACCACGAGTCCCATCTTTAACATTGGAAGGCGAAGAGTGTCCCCCTTTATCCATTCCAAGTGATCTGTGTGAAGGCACTGGGGCAGAGTCGTTGCTACTTGTAACCCTGGTATTATCTACTCTAGCAAGTGGTTTTTGTGAAGACATGGAGGTATTGTTGATGTTAACCCTAGCAGTTGCCACTTTGCTTGAAACGAGCTTTTTCTCAGCCTCCACACTAACTGCCTTGTGGAGAAGACTTCTGAGCCTGTCAAATGGTTTGTTTGCATTTGCCTTTGTGCTGCTGTCCAATTTTGTTTTTCTTCTTGCTGAAGCAGCAGTCTCCTTTATTAGAACATATAAAAAAACTAGTCAGTGTGGTTATTCATCTAATGCAAACTGACAATTAAGAAGCAAAATCATCTAGAAATTGAGGAATGAGGAAGCATAATGCACTAAGTGGACAGGGCACACATGGTTTTAGAATGACACAGTATGAAGAATCACACATTAGTGGATTTATAGGGGACAGACTAAGAGAAAATGTTGATGGTAATGAACAGATGCTTTTCTGGTCTATTTACATATTATTTGATAGATGCTTTTCTTTAGTTGCTAGTTGGTTCTCAAAACTCTGCATTTGTGCTATCATGGTTGACCTTTAAACTAACAACATTTTAATTTTTACCTGAAGATGTTTGTTTTAATCTTCATCTATCAAAGAAGATGATCTAGATAAATAATCCAAAAATACCAATGACATAAATAATCCAAACTCATTGTGTACCTTAGCTTTTGCTGCAGCTTTATGAACTTCTCCTTTCTTGAAATTTAGCTCCACATTGTTGGAGATAATGTTGTCTGAGCATGCATCTTCTAAGGACCACCTACTTGTTGACTCTGAATGTTCTGGTGCAACCTCTTGTGCAGATGCGCTAGGTTCTACAATAGATACAGAGGCCTCAAGGTTTCTCTCCGAGATCACATTGTGACCATCGTTTTCACAAGTCAAAGCTGATTCCCCCTCTAAGAAATGAGCCACGGGATCATTTCTGGGGTTCATTCCCTCTTCTTCTGTGGTAGAATCAACACTATTTTGTTGCCATTTGGGACCCTGTTCATCCTTCTGTTCAAGAAAAGCACCATTGCTGAAAGGATCAGCAGCAAGGTTTGTCTCTTGCTCAACCTGCAACTTCTTCAGTGTTCTTATTCTTCTGTAATATTCTTCAAAGTGGGCCTTCTTGCGGGCAACTAGACCAGGGGCCTTGAATTTTTCCAGCTCCTCCTGGCATTTGTTATGAGAGAACACTGACCATTTTTCCCATGCCAGTGACTCAACAGAATATCTTCCAAAAGAAATTGAACCATGATCCAACATTTCAGAGATTGATGCTTCCTTTTTTTTTTTTTTTTTTTAATTCATCATTAAAATGATATAACAGCAAAAATAGCAACAACATTAATAATCATTGATATCCCCTAAAACTATAGCTTTCTAAATTCTGAAGAAAGGTTTCTGAGTTCTACTAATGAGGGTGTCCATGTCTACCCCCCCCCC